AGAAGAATGAAACTAAACCCCTATCTTTCACCTTGCACAAAAGTCAATTCCAAATGGCTAAAGACCTCAATGTAAAGCCTGAAACTCTGAAACTATTAGAAGAAAACATTGGGATAAAACCTACAAGATACAGGCGTAGGAAAGGATTTTCTAAACCGAACATCAATTGCTCAGGAAACAAGGGCAAGAATTAACAAATGGGACCTCATTAAACTAAAAAGCTTCTGTCTCAAAGGAGACAACCAAGGAAGCAAACAGAAAACCCACAGAAATGCAGAAAATCTTCACCAGTGACACATCCGACAGAGGTTTACTAACCAGAATTTATAACAAACTCAAAAAACAGAGAACCAAGACAAGAAGCAATCCAATTAAAAGATGAACTAAGGAGCTGAACAGAGAGTTCTCAAAAGAAGAAGTAAAAATGGCTATGAAACATCTTAAAAATTAAAAGATGTTCAGCATCACTAATAATTAGGGAAATGCAAATTAAAACCACTTTAAGATTTCACCTTACCCCAGTCAGACTGGCTAAGATCAAGAACACAAATGATACCAAATGTTGGAGAGGATGTGGGGAAAGGGGAGCACTCATGCACTGCTGGTGGGGCTGCAAACTGGTTGAACCCCTATGGAAAGCAGTGTGGAGAACTCTTAAAAAACTACAAATGAACCTACCATTTGACCCAGTTATACCACTCCTTGGCATATACCCAAAGAACTCATCCTATCGCAGAGACACTTGTACATTCATGTTTGTTGCTGCTCTTTTCACAATAGCTAAGAGATGGAAGCAACCTAAGTGTCCCTCAATTGACGAGTGGATAATGAAAAGCCTTTTTCTTTTTTTAAGTTAATGTACTCATTCCTCTCCTGACAATTATGCACTGAGATTGAGTTTATCTTCTTTTTGGAAGTGTTTCCGAGAACAATATAGCTTTCCTTTTTTGTTTAGCTGTCATGGAGGTCTGTCCATTCCCTCACGTGCTCTTCTGTTGGGCAGCTTGTCTTTCCTTGGTGATAGAGCAACAACTCTGTCTTGAGTGGTCATTCTGTTGCATTTGGATTACACAAAAGTTGTCCAAGATCATATGTATAAGATTGTTGTTTGCTTTGAACTGAACATGATCCTCAGTCATGCCCCATGAGCCTGCTTGCGGACTTGATCTTTATTGACTCTGCCATCTTGGAAAGTAGAGAAAATAGGTAAAACCACAAAGAATAATTGGAAAACGCTTCTCTGGAGCACAGCTGTCACCTGGTAGTGGTTCACCAGTCACAAGGGAATGTTATTGATTACAAATCTTTAGTAAGTTTTTTTTCCTGTTTGTTTTTTGGTCTTTTAATAAGTGTTTTTGAAGTACAAACACTTTAGATGTAAGGATACTGAAAGTATTTTGATGATGGAATTTTCAAGAAGAGTTTAATTTTCATAGGATGTCTACATTTAATTATTAAATTAATAAAATTCTTCCTTAAATAATACTGTCTAATTTCATGCTAAAATAATTGCCAGAGGTCTAAAGACTTAAGTATAAAGAATAATAGACAATAGGGTGAATCTCTCATCATAAGCATACAAAGGAATTGATAGTATATTTGTGCTTTTCAAGCACAAAACAGTAGATCAGTGACATAAAAAAAGCACAAACCTTCCAAGGCCAGTTGTAATTTGGAAGTCAGATTCAAAATGAGGATGTCTGCTCCTTTTCTAAAAACCAGGAAGATACCATTAAAGGCATTAAAGTATGAAGCTTTTTCTTTTTCTGTGGACTTTTCTCTTGTCAAGGTTGTTTGCTAATTAATGTCATTCTAGGTAAAGAAGTCTAAATTTTAAATTATTGGCAAAAATATTGTCATTTATAATATGTAATATGTAGGGAATCAAAGCCTTGAGGGCCTGTTCATGTTTAGACAACATGGCTCTTATACAGATTTCTGATGCCAGAGATGGCTAATGCTAGACATCTGTATGGCTCAGAGGCAGCACAAAATGACTGATACTACATCCAGGAACCCCAAAGTAAACAGTGATATAATCTGTTATATGACTTTTAACTAGAAGTCACCTTTGTGTGATTTCTCATAAGAAGTCCTTGAGACAAGAGCATGTGCTCTTGCCAGGTGTCACCTGCCCAGCAGGCTGTTTACCCTCCCCTGAGAAAAGAAAGCATCTTGCATTTGCAGCAGCTCCATGAAGCTTCTTTAATCTCCCAGCCCCAGAACTTGCCCTCCACTTTTGAGTATAAATATGCAACATTTATCTCATGTAGAATCACCCAAATTTATATTTTGTGTTGATGCATACATATGGGAACATTTTTTACCAGGACAGAAAAAACGCTACTCAAAATGAACTCCCGCCTACCTGCTTTGGTTTTACTTCCTCACATGTTCACAGTCTGCTAACACTTCCCCTTTTCAGCCTGACTGACAGGTGAGCTTTAGCATAGGCTGAAGGAAATCCTGTGAGTGTTCAGACCTGGTAGTAGACAGTCACTGAGGCCTGCGGAAGCTGCCCTCACACCTGAGCACAGCCTGTGCTCTGGTTTAGGGAGCTGCAGGGAGGGGCTGGGCTCCCCTGACTACTTAGACTCTTAAGCCTGTTTGCATTCCCAGCCCAGGCTGCCAATCCCTAGGTTTCTTTCTCAGAGACCTTTGGTCTGGGTCCTCTTCCACCTCTGTCAAGACTTTTTTTTGGTGGAAACCTTGAGGACACTTTCCCCACTGGGATTTAATATTCCTGACTTTGGACTCCTGGTCCCTTCCCTAATCCCTAGGTCCCTCACCCTGCTGGAGCCTTTTGTTTGGGTTTCTTCAGCAGAGACACAGCCCCATTTTGCAGTAATCACTTCATCCTGTTCAGTTGGGGAAGGCAGCCCTTCCTCTGGTTTCAGACTTGCCTATGGTACACTATTGCAGCGGGTGATTGGCTCTTTCAGGCTTGGCTTACTGCTTTAACTGCTTACTCTGACACCTGGCCACCGAGCCTCTCAGTCCAACCTCAGCAGCTCAGCTTTCCTTCAGTTATTTTCATGCAAGTGGTTGGTTAAGACGGAAGTAACCGAGGAAGAAAGGATATGAGGCTGGCAGGCTCTTTGGTTGCTTGTGTTTCTTAGAACACCATTACCCTTTTTCTGAATTTAGTCCTTAAGGCCCTCTAGCTTGTCAGCATCCCTGCTTATTCTGTTGAAGTAGAAACTGCTTACTTTGTACTGACTAGGAGTCTAACTGAATCTTACACTTTCTGTGCTCTTCAGATGCTGTGAATGCTTTATGTGGATGAGCTCAAGGAGCTGTGGGCACGCTTACTGCATGCATCAGCTCTGCTGTCCTTGTCCTGTTGTTTCATCAACCCTCCCTTCTATAAGTTCAAAGATAAAATTAAGAATTTCAGGACAGTAGCAGTAGTACATTAAGCTTAGCATGGGGGTTCTGTGGAGCATAGAGCCTTGGATACAGACTGTGTGGCCATGAAGCTGACCCTGAGAACTACATGTCAGAATGGCCGTAAATAGGAAGACAGTTGGGATGAGTTGCAGTTTACATTTGCAAATTGAAGTAACAATCTATGCTTTGCTTCCTTTTTGAAATTAAGACTTTTAAAAGAAAATCAAATTCCAGGATTGGTGAAAATGTGATCAACAGTTTTGTACTGCTTATGGGAGTGTACAATCTTTGGAAGCAGTTTGTCTCTCTGTGTTAAGGACCTTAACATTATTCATACTCTTTTGCTGGATAACTTATTTTAAGATGGAAATTCTGATGTTTATTAAGTTGTTTATTAAAACTATTATATAAAATAAATTTCTTAAATATCTCACAAATAGTATTAAATTATGGCACATCCATATGGTGGAGTGTTTCTAGCCATTAAAAATGATAAAAATAAATTAGGTGCAGTGGCTCATGCCTGTAACTCCAGCACTTGGGAGCATGAGACAGGAGGGTTACTATGAATTTGAGTCCAACCTGAGCAATGTAGGGAGTTCCCATAAAAAACAAAACAAAATTTTAGATACAATTCATTATATAATGTTATGTGAAAATAGCAAGATGCATATTTTATTTTTATAAAAGTACTCAATTATGCTGGGCGTGGTGGTGCAGACCTTTGAATCTAGCATTTAATTCTGTAATGTTTTAGAGCAGCTTGCACGATGGAAGAGTTATTTAATTTCCCTTCATATTTCCTATTTATTCTACATGCCAGTTTTTCTAGATGGCCAATTTGGTACTGTTCTAGTTAGCTTTCTGTTGCTGTGATAAAACCCTCTGTCCAAAGCCAACTTGGAGGGGAAAGGGTTTATTAGGCTTACATGTCCTTGTCACAACTCATCCTTGAGGGAAACCAGGGCAGGAGCTCAAGACAGGAGCCTGGAGGCAGGAATTTGAGCACAGACCACAGAGGAGTGGAGGAATGGAGGAACACTGCTTACTGATTTGCTTCTCTGGCCTGGGCTCAGTCTGCTTTTTATACAACCCAAGACTACCTACCGAGGGGTGATATCACCCACAGTGGGCTAGGCCTTCCCACATCACTCAACAATCAAGAAAATGCCTCACAGACATGCCCAGGGGACATCTGATAGAGGAAATTCCTCAGTTGAGGCTACCTCTTCCCAGGTGTGTCAAGTTGACAACCAAAGCTATCCAGCACAGGTACCTTCATTTGCAAATCTGGTGGGACCTACACATACCTGTGAGTTTTTTTGTCATTCATAATATGCATCAAAGTTTTGAACCACATTGCTATGCTCTCTGGTAAACATTATCATGTTTTATTATTTGTTAGCCAAAGAAGGTCAGGATAAATGAACCATCCTTAGTCCCTGGAACACATGTGACTTGGTATTGACCTTTATGCATTTGTCTTTGCTTCAAGATTGTTATGGATTTCAAGCACCCAGAAGGTATCACGGTGCAAATTATGTTGCCTCGTCGGAGTTTGCTGGTGATGACTGGAGAATCTAGATACCTTTGGACCCATGGGTATGTGCTGAAATGATCTTGGTGATTGACACGACACTGCATGCTTTGTGAGACTTCTCATTGTCTTCCACTTGAGCCACTGAAACCATGTCCTGTGCTTGCACATTGAAGCTTCTGGGTCCAGCCCTCCTAGGGACCCAAGGCAACTTTACAGTTTTTGGAGCTTTAAAGAAAGGTTGCAAGCATAGGAAAGTAAGCTCCCTTTCCTTTGCATCTGCAGTTGTTGTGAACATTTTAAAATTTCTGTTTCTCATATATATTGTTCTTACTGCTTTTGTTGAATCATTTGTTTCTCATATATATTGTTCTTACTGCTTTTGTTGAATCATTTGAGAGTAAGTTACAGACATTGTGGCCCTTTGCTTTGATAGGAATGCATCTTTAGCTTTCATGCAGTCAGAACATTATGCTGCTAGAATTTATGTGTATATGTGGGTATATATTTATATATGTCATTAAAACATTGCTGAATTTTGTATGTATTAATTCTGTCCTGCTTATAGATTTTAGCTGACATAGATTTTTTTAAAAATCAAGGAAATGAGCACATGATTGAAGCCAGGCATTGTGCCAAAAACTTTACTTAAACTAACTTATTAGGTCACAAAATCATGATGGAAATTTGTTCCATGTTTCCATTTTTAAAGAAAATTGGAGCATAAAGAAGTTAAGTAACTTGTACAGACTCACGAAGCCAGTAAGTGGCAGAGTCCAGATCAGAAGCCAGAGGGTCTGGGGTTAGGGCCTGGGCTAACCATCTTATTACAGTCACACTGGTTTGCTTTGTTGCATTCTCGTGGCCACCATGGACTGAAACCTCTGAAACTGTGAGCCTAAATAAACCCTTTCTTCCTTAAACTGTTTCTTTGAGATATTTTGTAACAGTGGCAAAAACTAACACAAGCACCCATGAAAACCCAGTTAGCATCACACTTAATGGTGGAATGTTGAATTTTTTTTCTAAGATACCAAACAAGGCAGAAAATTTTGGTATTACTAATTCCTTTTTCTTTTTCTTTCTTTCTTTTTTTTTTTTTGAAAAAAATTTAATTAATTATTTTTTAGAGATATTGTCTCATATAGCACAGGGTCGCCTTGAACTCAGTATGTAATTTAGGATAAGGATAACCTTGAACTTCTGATCCTCCTGTCTCTACTGCCTGAGTACTTAGATTACAAGCATGCATCAGCACATCCAGCCCACCATTTCTTTTTAATGGTCTACTGAATAGCTTTCCAAGTATAATCAGTGAAGAAAAAGAAATAGAAATCATAAAGATTTGAAAGGAAACAGTAAAACTCTTTTGTTTTTGTGGATGGAATTAATGTGGAAAAGCCTAGGGAGGCTACAAAATGGGCACTAGAACTAATAGGTGAATTTATTTGCATACACAGTCAATATTTTTTAAAAAAAGGAACATAAAGTAAAAATGTGAATTAAACAGTCTAACAAAATACTTCTTTTCCAGTAGTCACAATGTCTTTATTATTGTGCAGCTTAAAAATTAGTTTGAAAGTTTTGATTCTAATAACACAACAGTAACAAAATGAAAATTAAGAATTGGAATACATTGTACTTTTTCAGTTTAGAATCAAATCCATCTTAGTGCTATGATCAACCTTTTTCTTTTCTGAACAAAAACTTGTATGATTCTTAGTAAGGAGAAGTCATCATCTTAACAGCATTCTATGTTTTCATGATTACCGAGGTCTTTCAGGCTTAGCACATTCCCTATGATTATGAAACTCACTGATATAGGGAGATGGCTTTACTAGATGAATCAGACAGCTTGGCCTCAGAAGATGTGCATCTGAGGAATAACTTTTGAAAAGATAGGCAGCACAGTTACATTGCTGTGCCTGAAGCATACATTGCTGATAGGAATAAAAAAGATCAAAATAAGAGGTACAGAGGCCATGATCATGGATGGGAATTTAGGATTGTTAAGGGTCAGTAGCTCTGTTCGATGTATGGATTCAGTGTAATTTTAATCCAAAGCCTAGGAGGCTTTATGTAGACACTGACAAGCTGGTTCTAAAATTTATAAGGAAATGTAATGAATATAGAATTGTCCTTATTTTTGAATCACTATATAGTAACTCATCTGAGTTCAGACAGACAGATAGATTAGAGGGACATAAAAGAATTCAGAAATAGCTGGACATGTTGGTGCTCACCTTTAATCCCAGCACTTGGGTGGCAGAGGCAGGTAGATCTCTGTGAGCTCAAGACCAGCCTGGTCTAATAGCAAGTTCCAGATGGGGATACAGGGAGACCCTTGTCTCAAAAAGACCAAAAGAGAAAAAAGGGGTCCAGAGATAGGGACATACATTTGAGTTGATTTTTGATGATATTAATGATTAAATGTGGAAAGAAAGTTTTGATGGAGCAGTTCTGGGTATCCACTGGAACAAAGAGTGAACCTTTATGCACTTCATTTCAGTCACAAAAATTAATTTGAGATAAATTATAGATTCAAGTGTAAAAGTAGAAACTATAGAATATTTAAAAGAAAATAAACACAAGAATATTTTTGAAATCTTGTCATAGCCAGTTGATTTTAGAAAGACTTCACAACACAAGTAATAAAAAATAGCAAATTAAGCCTTGTTAAAATTAAAAACTTTTAGCTGGGTGTGGGTGTGGTGGTGCATGCCTTTAAACCCAGCCCTCAGGAAGCAGAGGCAAGCAAATCTCTGTGAGATGAGGTCAGCCTGGTCATCAGCTTGCAGGGAGACCCTTTCTCAAAAAGACCCCCCCCCCCAAAAAAAAAGGCAAACTTCTGAGCGACATGTGATTCCACAGGCCTATAATCTTAGCATTTGGGAGGTTGAGGCAGGAGAATTATAAATTTCAGACTTTTAGACCTTTAGTCTCAGCTACACAACCATCTTAAAAAGAAAAAAGGAATAAAACTGTTCATATCTTAGAATATAAATTTGAAATTCTGTATATCTACTATTATTTTTGAATATTGTTTACTGACAAAACTGCACCACCAAGCTTCAACAATAATGTGAAATATGTCACTGTTCTGTAATGAGTTTGCCATTCACTCCCTTTCCAAATTCTCCAAACTATTAAAATATAAAATATTTTAATGTAATCATGTTACTTCTTACAGAAAGCAATGCTAATAAAATATTTTTTAAAGCTAAAAAAAACCATTCATGAGGAGAAAAGGATTTTGAGTATGCATAGATATTACAAAGGAGTGGGCAAAGACTTAAATCCTTCACCAAAAAAAGAGGGTCCATGAGTAGCCAATGAGTACGTGAAACAATGTAATGTTATTAGTCATTACACAAGACAGAAAATCTTGAGTGCCGGGAGCGGGTAAAGGAGCCTGGGTTGTTGCTTAGTTACAGTGTAAGATTGGGCAGCTACCTTGGAAAACCTGCTGCTACTGGCTCTACTGCTCACCACTTCCCCTCCTAACCCATGAGCCCTGAAGATACATGTCTGAAAATGTGCACAGGAACATCTGCAGATGTTCCAAACTTGGAATGCCAGAACACACATCAGCAGCAGGAGATTTTGGATAAATTGTGCTGTGTTCACGCAATAGATTACTTAGCAACAAAAAGGTAGCACACTACTGATAGACACCCTAACTTGGGTAAATCTCAAAATCATGTTAGATAGACACAAAATCATACTGCTTATAAAATTTAAGAATAGGCAAAACTGAACTGATAGAAATGAGAATGGTGATGTGGATGCTGAGATCCGAACCCAGATCCTCCGGAAGAGCAGTGTTCTTAACCGCTGAGCCATCTCTCTAGCCCCTCTCTTTTTACTTTTTAATTTTTGTTTGTATATTGTATTTGTATTATACAATTTAAGAGTTAATACATTTTGTTCTGTTATCTGTTGTTTCCCAACGTTGATATTTTTGACTCTAAGCTAGATTTCAGTCAGAGAGAGATATATATCAACTCCAGTGATAATCTTCTATTGTCTGTTTTTCCTGTTACATTTTTAAGCTTTTGCTTTGTATATTTTGAGATTTTGTCATACCTAGGCTCAAATAAAATATGGGATTATGAATTTATATCTTTAAATCTTTCTATTGGATTGACTATTGTCCTTATGAAATGTCTCTTGGTATGTTGTTGATTTTTTAATATAATTGGAAAGAAGCAGAAAGGGAGGGAAAAGGAGGAGGGGAAAGAGGGAGAGAGAAGAGGGAATATGAAAGTGGGTCCTTAAATGGACTAGCTTTTAGTTATGTTCGCCCATAAGTTGTAGGATTTATTTTATTTTTTATTTTATTGGTCTTTTTGAGACAGGGTCTCCCTGTAGCCCCAGCTGTTCTGGAACTCACTATGTAGACCAGGCTGACCTTGAACTCACAGAGATCCACCTGTCTTTGCCTCCCAAGTGCTGGGATTAAAGGCGTGTGCCACCACGCTTGGCCCTATCTTTTTATTTTTAATCAGTCTGTGCATAAGGTTTTATAATTGCTAGGTTATTGGATTAAATTTTAACCTGGTCCCATAGTCACTGAATTTTTTAATTGGAATTTTTAGCTATTTATTGAATATTATTTTCCCCTGGAATAACTTGTCATAATAGGCATGTTACCTGTTCTGTTAATCTTATTAATATCTTTAATGTTTAATATTAATACTCATTCTGAAGCACACTTCCTTAAACACTTATTTCTTTACTCTTTCACAATACCTAACAATTCAAAAAATCCATTTTAGATTTGCTCTGTTCCCTTAATATTTTTAGAAGTCCTGATATAATTTTGTCATTAGAATGTTAAGTAAGTTATTTATTGTCTTTAGAATCACACCCAGGAAATTTGATACCGTCCAAGCATCTGAACGGCATAGAAGTGGGATAATCACCAGTGACATTGGAGACCTGACTTTAAGCAAGAGGGGAGTCCGGACATCATTCACGTTTAGGAAAGTGAGGCGCACACCTTGCAACTGTAGTAAGTGTGTAATTTCATTTGTACTGCAGTGGATAAATCTAATGTGAAAACTTTAAGGCCCACTACGAGAGCTACTTCTAAGTTCTCTAATGTTATTTCCTGTGCTCTGCCTTGCGCTGCTCTTTCATAGCACTTCTCTGAACCACCTCCTTTGGAGTTCATAGTCATTGGAGGAAGGAACTACATTTTATCACTGGCATTTTCATGGAACTGGTTCTTTAGCATAGTTGAGTGCCAAGAACATGTTTTATTTATTGTAGTAACACCCCAAGAGTATTAGGGATGCAGAACAATAAAATATCACTTGCACCAAATTGGGTTTTGTTGGAAATAGTTTGTCAAGTTTCTAAATTACTTTTTTTTTTTAAATCCAATCCAATGGGGAAGCTGGAGATGCCAATTGCTCTTTGAGTAAATGACTCTAGGGGACTGAGCAGTGGCTTATGGCTTAGTCAGTTTGGAAACCTGGAAGGTACTAAAAGGAACAACATAAAACTTGGCTAGAAGACACTATTCTGAATGGTTTATACAAGTATCTCATGCCCTGGTTAATTTCTTGTACTCAACAGAAAATTCTTTTGTTTTATAAATAACTTTTAATGACAGTAATCACAGACTCCTTTTCATACTATGGGAGTTTCAGTTTGGGGTAGTTTACAACAGCTTTTACATTTAGTCAGAATCTTTAAAATATTTAAAATTAAAAACTCATATCTTGGGACTGGAAAGGTGACTCAGTGGTTAAGAGCACTTGCTGTTCCTTCTGAGGGCCTGAGTTAGGTTCCCAGCATCCACATCCGGTGACTCAAAACCACCTGTCAATTCCAGCTCCAGGGATCTGAGGCCACTTCTGGCATCCACAGGAACTCACAGACACATGTGGTGACACACGCACGCACGCATACAAATAAAAATAAATCTTTAAAGAAATCTCTGTCTGAAGACATTATCCTGTTAAAAAACTTGGAATCTCTGTATTTGATACCTTGCTGGTAGTGAAGCCTAAAACAAGCTTTTGCTTATTCTGCTAGCAGTGTCAGTGAGTTTACAAAATGTTAATTTTTAATGATGTTCAGTATTTGATGAGTCCTTAATGCCACTGGCAGCTTCATAGGGTATAGAAACTAAAGCAAAGCACCTAGCCACAAGGTGCTGAAAATTTGGTTGGAGAGCTAATCTAGCTTTCTTGTGCAAATGTTTCTTTGTTATGGACATTTATTAAATGCAAGAGAAGCTCTATGGAGCTCTGATAGGGTATTCTGTTTGATTTCCACATTTTTTTTCCTCTTCCTCTTCTCCCCCCCCCCCCCCTTTTTTGTTGTTTGATACTTTTATATATGTATAGTGAACTTCGGTCGCCTCCCCATTACCTTCTTTGGCCCCCTCCCTCTCCCACTGAAACTCTTCTTCCCAACAAGCCCCCCTTCTGCTTGATATGTGTGTGTGTGTGTGATCCACTGGGTTTAGTTATGTTCTTGTGCTTGACCATGGGTGCAGGGTTATTTACTAGAGCATGGACAACTTATCAGTGGCTACAACCACTGAAGAAAATAACACCCCCTCCCCAGCATCCATTAATTACCCATAGACCCTCTCCTATGCCATATCCAGCCTCATTCACCAAAGTTGTATTGATTTTCCTTTAAGAAAACTTGATAACCTAGTCTTTTGCATAATTATAAAATGTTTTTATTGCTTTACTTCTTTTTGTTTATTATTTATTTATTTATTATTGAGACCTGGTTTCAGTCTGTAGCCCAGGCATCTGGAACTGACTGTGTAGTACAGTCTGGCGTCAAATTCACTGCACTCCCGCTGCCTTGTCCTCCGAGTGGTGGAATTCTAGGCACGAGCCTGTACACCTGGCTACATAGCTTTATTGTCTCTTTTAGGTTATCCTTTGGTCTGTGACAGCCAGAGGAAAGCGACTCCTCCCTCGTTTCCGTTTCCAGAGAGCGATAAGGAAGCATCACAGCTGGAGCGAGAGCACGTCCACCAGGTGTATGAGGAGATCGCCGGGCACTTCAGCAGCACGAGGCACAGCCCCTGGCCACACATCGTCGATTTCCTGAAGGCTTTGCCAAGTGGTTCCATAGTGGCTGATGTTGGCTGTGGAAACGGAAAGTACCTTGGCATCAATAAGGAGCTATACATGGTGAGTGACTGTGTGTCTGACTTTGTGGTGTATTTGCAGTGGCTGTTGTTATCTTTGCTCGTTATCATGTGTGGCAAATATTGCAGAAAAGCTTTAACAAACAGACTGAAAATTAATGAGCATGCCCATTCTGTTTTTTTGGTCTTTTTGAGACAGGGTCTCCCTGTAGCTCTAGCTGTCCTGGAACTCACTATGTAAACCAGGTTGGCCTTAAACTCACAGAGATCCGCCTGCCTCTGCCTCCCAAGTGCTGAAGGTGTGCGCCACCATGCCCGGCTTTGCCCATTCTTTCTAAAAGAAATTTTGTGCATGTATTTGCATGTAAGTTTTTTTTGTGTGTGTGTGTGTGTGTGTGTATGTGTGTGTGTGTGTGTGTGTGTGTGTAAATGCCCACGCACGTGAGCACACAGGAAAGCCAGAAATCACCTCTGAATGTCATTCCTTAGGAGCTGTCCACCTTGCTTTTTGAGACAGGGTCTGTCACTGGGGCCTGAGGCTCGGTGACTCAGCTAGGCTGGCTGGCCACTGAGCCCAGGATCTTCCTGTCTGCCTCCTGTCTGCCTCCTCAGTGCTGGAACTGGGTGCTGAAGATTGAACTCGAGTGGCAACGCCTGCACTTTCTTGGTGAAAAGGAGTGTCAGGTGTGACTGTCCAGTCTTGCAAGAAGGAGCAAGGATTTCCTCTTATTTGGCTTGCTTGCTTTTCTGATGTTATCTGTGGCTCTCAGACAATGATAGTGAGCCCATCTCCAAGGATTTGTTTTATAATCAGGTTGGATTTCTTTTGTTGGCTTTTACTAAAGTTTAGCTATTGGTCACAACTGGGCATCCTTACAACTTTGGATTTTATGCACTGAATTTAAATATAAGGAAAGGTGGCAAACATCCAAATACATGTGTATTATTTGAGTGGTGTTTTCATCTTGTTTGTGATTATTGGCTGAGTCATATAGAATATAGGTGAACAGAAATAAACGTGATAAGCCATGTGTACGTCAGTTCATGGGAAGGGAACAATTAGGAATTGTGCCACTGTTGTTAACAGCCCTGTAGACCCTTTCCATATTAAATTATACCAAGGAGAAATTGCTATACTTTATCTCTAACTAGAAACCTTTATCCTATTTCATAAATTAAAGCAGCTCAGGGTATTGAATATAGAAGTTGTTTAATACCAGTGGGAAATTGAGCAAGTATATTAAATATAAGCAGGATGACAGTGTGTTTTAACTCAGCAATAATTGTTTTGATACTAAAATTCATATTCTTTATTCTCAGAAGGGCTATATGAGCCTTAAGGCTCAGTATTCATTGTGTGGAAAAATTAGATGAGTGAATATGAGCACAAACTGGCCACTATTATTTGATTAAATCTGATTATATAATTCTTTAATTCATTTTAAGACTGGAAAAAGAAATATCTGGGGATAATTATTAATTGGTAGCTTAACATTTCTCTAGTCTCTTCTCCTTCCCAACTTAGGTTTGCACATTGCAATTATGTGTGTGTAGATGCACACGTTCGTTCACGTGGATATACATATTGCATAAATATTTGGTCTTTGTGTATATGTTAGTATTATTAGAACAAAGCAGGAAAGCTATGTACAGAAGCAACAGAACTAGACAAGATGGGAGTCAAAGCCTCAGATACTTTACACAGATCAGAGATGCCCATAAGGCCATTAGGCCTCGCATGCCTGGGGAGATGGAAACGCTTTGCTTGCTGCGTTCAGGGACAGTGTTTCCCTAGGATGGCTTTGTTGTATTAAAGGGTTAACTAAGCATAATTTTGCAAACAGTGAGTTCAGCACTTCATTTTTGATAAAGTTTTCTGTTTAACAGAAAAAGACTTAGTACCACAGGGCTAGAGAGATGGCTCAGCAGTTAAGAACACTGGCTGTCCTTGCAGAAGACCCAGATTCAAATCCTAGCTCCCATATGGCAGCTAACAATTGTCCATAACTCCAGTTCCAGGGGATCCAATGCCTTCTTTTGTCTTCCATGGGCACTGCATGATGACACAGGTCACAGGGTACACTTACATACTTGAGGCAAAACACTCATACACATAAAAAAAATAAATTAAAATTTAAAAAAGTAAAAAGACTTAGTGCCTTTAAAAAAGGAAATACATTATCTTTGTGTGTGTGTGGTGTGTGTGTGTGTGTGTGTATGCGTGTCTCACTGTGTATCCCTGGCTGGCTGGCTAGCCTGAAGTTAAGAGGTCTGCTTTCCTCTGCGTCCCAGGTGCTGGGATTGAAGGCATGTACCACTACTCCCAGCCTAAATTATCTTTTCTATTGTTTGGTAATACTGACTATAAGTAATACGTGTTGAAAAGAACAAAGAATTAAGAAAGGAAATGACCCATCTTTCTGGTTATGGGCCATCACAATGTTGTATATACAATGGGAGATATACCTTAAGTCATGGTATTTATAGCCCTTCCCAGAAAGCTAAGCCCTGTATTTATGATTTGATTTTGAAATAGGTAATATTATAAAAGATCTGATTTTCAGTAATGATCGCTGTGGAGTAAATTTGAGTCTCCCATGTCTTTTTTAAAATTTATTTACCTACTTTGTGTATTATGTATACACTTGTGTGCAGATGCATTCATGTCATGGCACACAGGTAGAGGTCAGAGATCAGCTCTTGAAGTCATTCTCCTCCTGACCTAGAATCCTGGGGTCCCCAGATTGTCAGGCTGGCCTGCAGGTGCCCCAGCCATTGAGCCATCTTGCCCGACCCCACCTCCCAGTTCTACCTATGTCTTTTTTCTAGTCATTTTGTTTCCATCCCTAATTTGAGTTTTGTTCGTTATTTGTGAAACTGTAGATGTTGCCTTAAATGATGGTATATTATGACTTTGTATAAGACTGTAACAACTTAAGTATTGTGGTCTCAGATCATTTCAAAATGAATATGAAATTTCTTGTTTCATGTAAACACAATATTATGAAATTTCACTTCTATTGTAGATCGGGTGTGATCGCAGCCGAAACCTTGTGGACATTTGTAGAGAGAGGCAGTTTCAGGCCTTTGTCTGTGATGCGTTGGCAGTTCCGGTCCGCAGTGAGTCTTGCGATGCCTGCATCTCCATTGCTGTGATTCATCATTTTGCAACCGCTGTGAGTACCGCTTTCCCCTGCAGGGACTTGTGACCAGTGGCGGGGAAGGTTCTCGAGTTTTGCCGCCTGGATCCTGTTGACTTTGCCTCTCCTTCATTTCTTCTCTTGTTGCTCGCTCTCTAGAGCGTTTGTCATGGAGCCCACCACGTGGAGTCAGGTGTGCTCTGCTTTCTTGGCTGGGTATTCTAGCTTTTGTACTACGAGTGACCTTCCTTTCTAAACTCCTTCCTTCAAGTCCACCATGTCACAGAATGTACTGGAGAGAATGTGAGATATCGTCTCTGGCCTCCTGGTAGTCTCACTGCTCAGACTCTCTTCTGTTTCTTTTCCTTATCTTTCTGTTTCCAGCTCCCATCACTGACCGGTGATTCTTGCTTCCAGCTCTGCTTTGTCTCTCTTTCCTGTTCTTTCTTCAACACTCTGCCCTATTTGGTTGCTAGTGGTATGTTGGCTCTTTTAATATGTTCTTAATTTTAAAATGAGTAAATTTAAAATTTTACATTTTCCCAAAGAAAAACAGCATTTATTTTTCCTGGCTATCAGTAGTTTCTCCTGTGATCTAAATCAGAACTTTATAGCTAATCCTGTGGGTTACTGGCGCTTTCTGTAGAACTTACAAGTCTGAGTTAAAAAAAACAAAACAAATTAGACATCAACAAGAATTATTGCATGCATATTTAATTTCCAATTCTGACTGTTTATTTTTTTAACAGTAACCAAAATATTCTTCTGGTCTTCTGCAACTCTACACAGCCAAAGCCAGCAGTCCTTAGTATTCTTAGAAGCACTACTACAAACAGAGGAAGGCTTGCAGGCAGTAGCTTTGCCAGCTTAAAAAGTCTCTTCATTTGGGAGAAGTGTTGGCACATTTTGGTACCTTCAACCATAGTTCATTCTGTGGCAATACACTATCTTCAAGTTATGAAAGAAAGTAAAGCATGAACACTCTATGTATCCATTTCTGTTTTCTGCAGTTGCATGAATATGTCAAATCATCTCCCCCGTATGAAGTCTCATGTAATCTTAGAAATGTATCTTATGTAGCTGGGTGTAGTGGCACATACTTGTATTCCCAGTGAGAGGATTGCTGTGAATTTAAGGCTATCCTGTGCTATATAACAAAACTCTTTATGTTTTATTTTATTTTTATAGTTTTTGAAAATTTTATACATACATATGTGTTTCGATCAAATTGATCACTTACACCCTCCCCTCCAATTCATTTCCTACTCCCCCCTGACTTTCGCCTCCCAACATAATGTGCTCTGTTTGTAAACCACTAAGTCCACTTAGTGCTGCCTGTGTGTAGGTGTAGGGCTGTCTACTGGAGCCTGGGTAGCTTTTCAGGGACTGCATCCCTGAAGAAAACTGATTCTCTCTCTCCTGGTAGCCATCAATTGCCAATAGCTAGCTACTCAGCTAGGGCAGGGACTTCGCAAGCCCTCTCCTACCCATGCAGGGATTTTGTCTGGCTTGATCTTGTGCAGCTCTTGTGCATGTAGTCACATATGCTGTGAGTTCATGTGTACAAAAACCCTGCCACGTCCAGCAAATACCATTTCACTGTAGACATTCATTATCTCTGGCTCTGACATTCATTATCTCTGACAGTATTTCTGACCCCTCTTCCCCAATGATCCTGGAGCCTTTGTGGAGGGGTAGATATAGAACTGAGCAGTCTCTTTATTTTCTATGCATTGACCAGTTGTGAGTCTCCATATTACTCACCATTGACTGCAAAAATCCTCTTATGAAGATTGAGAGATGTACTAATCTATGGGTATAAAATAAAGTCTTCAGTTTATTGCTATGTTAATTTAGTAGAATAATACCATTAGGTTTGCCCCTAGGGCCTATGAGCTTGCCAACAATGGAGTTTTGGCCTAGTTAACAGTACCAAACATGAGTTCCATCTTGTGGTGTGGGCTTTAAGTCCAAACAGGAAGTCGTTGGTTATTCCCATAACATTTGTGCCACTATTGCACCAGTGAACATATCTTGCCAATCCCGTTGTTACTATAGCTCATGGGGCTCACAGCTGGGTAAGATTATTGATTACTCTTCTCCCTCGATAGTGTGCATAGCACCTTCCAGCAGTATGAAAGTTAGCCAGGAGAGATGACGCTTCCAGGCTGGTACCAGCTTGATTTCTCCACATCCTAAAAATCAAGTTTTCAGCAATAGTCTTACCATCAAGTTCTGGAGGATAGCCAAGAGCAATGGCAATGACCTGTAATGTTGGGGGGAGGTGTATCTAAGGGACCCCAACTGACCAACAGTTTCAAAAAGAGGTAACCTATACCTAGTAGTGGACTTTCTGATTAAAAGCCTATAGTATTTGGAACAGGCAGTGTTTCCCCTTCCCACAAACCCCTCCTGTTGTAGTGTGACTCCATTTAAACTCCTTTATACCGAATACTTTAGGAGCATCTACAGTAGTAGGTTTCCATATGAATTTTTGGAAGTCTCTAATGTTAGTTACACCTACCCATACTCTCTCCTCTACCCTGCCCTCCCATGCCCCATCCCGTTTCACCTACATCTGCTCCATTCCCCTTTCCCCCTTCATACCTCCTGGATTCTCAAAAGAAGAAATACGAATAACTGAGAAATAGTTTTCAAAATGTTCAACATTCTTAGCCATCAGGGAAATGAAAATTAATACTTTCTTTTAAAAAAGGAGAATAATGAAAATGAAACCAATACATATACACACATACACACACACATACACACACACACATGTGCAATGGACTATTAATCACCTATAAAGAAAAATGAAATCATGAAATTCTCAGGTAAATGGATGAAGCTGGAGATAATCATTCTGAGTGAAGCAACTCAGACCCAGAAGACAAATGCCACATGTTCTCTCTCATATGTGCAGGCCAGCTTTGAATCTTTAGATATGTGCGTTTAAATTGGAGTACCCATACAAGTCAGGAAACTAGTAAAGAGTCACGGGGGAGGGTTAATTCATTGACCACATGTAGAACAATCATGAATGTCAAGCAACAATATCAACAGAGTGAAAATGGAGCCCATGGATTGGGAAAATATTTGAAAATCACATACCTGACAAGAAATTAATATCCATATGTACAGAACTCTTAAAGTACAACAGCACAAACAATGTAATTTAAAAAGACGAAAGGACTTAGTTTTCAAAGAAGATATACAAATATCCAATAAACACATGAAGATTCTCCATCATTAGGGAAATGCAAGTTGAAACAGTGAAATAGCAGTATACACAGCAGCATAGGTATTATTAGAAATAAGGACATTACCTAGTGCTAGGAAGGACATGGAAAAATTGGAGCTCTGTGCTTTGCTGGTAGAAAGGTGCAGTTACTGGGGAAGAAAGTACAGTAGGTCTCAGAAATTAAGTACAGGATTACCATGTAATCCAAGCAGGAACTTAGACAGATACTTGTATACCTGGTCCATAGCAGCATTATTTGCAATAACCAATGTGGAAACAGTTTATAATGGTTAGTTTTAATTGTCAACTTGACACAATCTGGAGTGACTTGGGAAGAGAGTCTCAAGAAGGGATTGTGTCATAGATCAGGTTGGCCTGTGGGTGTGTCTGTGGAGGATTATCTTGATTGCAATAATTAAATGAGTGGCACCGTTCCCTGAACTGTTTTAAGAGGTGAAAACAAGCTGGACACCAGCATGTGCGTGCTCATTTTCTTCTGCTGAGATCATATTAAATGATCTCGGAACCTAAGCTTTGGTTACCAAGGATAGGTAAGATCCCCTCTGTAACAGAAGGCACTCCCAGAAGTCGTTACTCCAAGGATGTGGACTCCATCATTGGGTCAATCCGCTGGAGAGTTCATACTGTTTGGGCTTTTGGGAGTGGAGCCTGGTTTGGAGGAAATAGGTCACTGCTGACTGTGAATACAATCTTTTGCCTGGGCCCCTTCCTGTGTCTCTGCCACCTGGCTGCTGTCAGGTGAGCAGCTCTGTCCAGGATACCCCCTTCTCTGAGAAGTTCCACCTCACCATAGGTCTGGAAACATGGTGCCACGTGTTCATGAACTGAAATCAGTTTGTGAGCCAAAATAATTCTTTCTCCATTTCTATTGTTTTTCTCAGGCATTTTATCACAATGACAAAAACTTGCTGAGTTCTCTTTGACTGCTGGCTTCACGACCTTCATGGGGTTTATTATATTTTCCCTCCTCTCTTAGCTTGCTGGTTAGATAGTCTTTTCTTATTTTTTAGTGTTTACTGTGGGTACACGATCTCTATTCCTGGCATTACAGTCTACCTTAAGTTGTTACGCCCAGCTTTCTAGTATTGTAAGACTATCAGTAATAACGTTTAGCCCCTTCTGCCTTTATTGTAATATTGTTATATTTTACTGTTATTTTTGTTTTCCATATTTATTTCTAATGTTCTTTGTTCTTTTAAGTGTTTTTCAAGGTTTCTGAAAGACTTTTTTTTAACTCGGCTTCTTTACCAGTGATGAATAGTGCATGATGAGTTAGAAGGGAAGACTACGTATATCTCAGGTTCCCTTTGGCTTGAAGACTATGTATATCTCAGGTTCCCTTTGGCTTGCAACCACGAAACTTACTAAACTTACTTCTCTCAAGGAGTCACAGAAGAAAACATGTTCCTTTGCTTTGTGTTTGCTTTTTCAAATGCTGAATGGGGTTCTTTTCCCATTGCTGGCAAACGTGTTTGTACGCTACAAGAACTCAGCAAGTGTGTACGCTAGCTGGTAGGGCTAGACTTCTCCACTTGCTTTATTCATTCATTCATTCATTCATTCATTCATTTATTATTTATTTATTTATTTATTTATTTATTTATTTATTTATTTATGGTGTAGGTATGTCAGTGATAAATCCTCTTTTGGTGTCATTGAAATTTATTTTGTTCTTATTTTAAAAATTTGACTATATTTTGAACTCTAAATTGATAATGTTTTCTGTATTCATCCTTTTTCGTCTCCACTTCACGCTGAGTACTTTATGCTGGCTTGAATTCGAGCTCACAAATACTTGGTGAAATGTGATTTACTGGGGCTGGAGAGATGGCTCAGCGGTTGGGAGCCATCTTGGCCTCTTGCAGAGGACCAGGGTTCGATTCCCAGCACCCACATGGTGGCTACGAACCATACTTAACCCCAGTTCCAGGGGAATCCAAAGCCCTCTTCTGACCTTCGCCACATTGCACGGCATGGGTGCACTCACATACATGCAGGCAATATACTCATACACATTAAATAAAAATAATAAATGAAATATTAAAAAAAGAAACGACTTACTATTAAATTCATGTGTTTTATACTTTTCTGGAATTTGTCTTGACAATATATTTTATGTCTTTACTGAAATTCTTTTTTCCTCTGGTTTTGTGAATATATTAGCTATAGTTATTTTGAAGTCTGTGAAGGGTGTATTTTTATAGTCTTTCCTCTGATTTTCATTCTTCTGTCATGATTGCATTTAACATTCCTCCTAATTTTTTATTGGATTCTGGACATTTTATATTTATTGGTTTAGATTTTTCTATCTTCTTCCAAAGAGGAGTAAATTAGGGCAAGCAGGTAAGAATAAGTTGGTCACTTTGACTCTGTAAGGCTATTGGGGCTAATGTATGGCTATTTATTTTTGTCTCTACTGAAGGAATGTGACTCTTTAGTCTTCATGTATATTCTGAGGCCATTAGGCCTTGCAGACCTTAAATTCCCATTGTCTGTCTCTCCAGCATTTTCCCATTGCTAAAGTCTCTGGTCTGCTTGTTAACTTCCCAGTGCTCCTCTGCTGTTTCTTGGCATTTCCCCCAGTGTTCATGAAGCTTGGGAAATGCCTTGGAGGACTTTGCATCTAGACTTTGGAGTCCTTCCTTGCAGCTCCTCCTTTATCTGTGATTCTGTCCCCCAATTCCCAGCTGCTTCCCTGTACTTAGAGCCTTGTCTTCTCCAACCAGGGAGTCTTCTTTGTGCTTGTATTCTATTCCCCACACTGTGAGTTAGCAGCTTTGTTTGGACCAGCCCACAAAGTTGGTCCCTAGTGCCTTAACCAGCTGTCTCGTGTGCAGTTTTGAGCATCTGCAAGCAGTCTCACATTTCCTTGTGATTTAATACTTCCTCTGGGTTGATGAATGATGGTGATTTTATTTTTATTTCTTTAGGAGCGTAGAGTGGCAGCTCTCCGAGAACTTGCTCGCCTCTTGAGACCTGGTGGGAAGGCACTCATTTATGTCTGGGCAATGGAACAAGAATACAGAAATCAGAAGTCCAAGTATCTTAGAGGAAACAGAAGAAGTGAAGGAAATAAAGAAGAGACAAGCAGTGAAACATCCACATCCATGCAAGGATTGCTTGTAAATGAAGAATCTGTTGGGTGCAGTAAAGACCCAGCATTGTCTGTCCCCGTCATTAATGACATTACTGAGGGAGGGTGTAAGTCAAGGAAAGTTACTAATTCTGGGCTACCTATCCATACCAATAGGACGTCTTTTCATTCTCAAGATGTGCTGGTTCCCTGGCACCTCAAGGGAAACCCTGGTATAGACAAAACAGTTGAGCCATTTGGCCCAGTAGGATCCCCTAACCCAAGCCCTGTGTTTCATCGTTTCTACCATGTGTTCTGTGGTGGTGAATTAGAAACTGCCTGCCAGGCTCTGGGTGATGTAAGCATTCTGAAAAGCTACTATGATCAGGGAAACTGGTGTGTTATTCTTCAAAAGGTCTGAGTATTTCTATGAACACATCATATGTAGAGAAAAAAATATACCTAACTGCTTCTTTTAGAGGAGACTAAATGATCTCCTTAATTAATGAGAAGACATAAAAAAGAGTACCAAAAGAGAGCTGAGAAATGTGGGATTAGCGATTACTTAGGAAATGTCTGCCACTCTTGGCTGACTTCATAAATGTAGGTTCTGCTTACATCCCTAGGATGGATTTTATAAGTAATTGAAGTAATTTGTGAAAGGTTTGGGATCTTTGTGTAAGTGTATTGTAGTCTGAAGATAACTCTTGTGGTTAAAGATCCTAAAGCATGTGGGATCTTAATGAAGTGATTATGTAGCATTTTAACAAAGTAAATATTCCTGGGCATTAGGAAATGACCTGAAGTTTATCTGCAGCTGTTCACTTCACAGAGTCACAATGATGTTCTCACTACATCTTACTATCACAGAACATAGCACATCGCAGACACTCAGTGAATCCTGATCAAATGGTGCCCATCTATTAATGGGAGCTTCAGTCAACAAGTATTCAGTAAGACCCTACATCTACCAAGCACTGTTAAGGACTAGAAGTGGAGCAGTAAACAAGAAGTAACTGTGGCTGGGGTGCAGCGCAGTGGATAGCTGTGCTCACGAATATGAATGAGTATTTCTAGTTATTCATAGTTTGCCCCACTCCAGGAAGAAGCCAAGTATTTTTTAATTTATATACTGTTGCACAGTAACCCACTGAACTTGCCTCTAGATCAGGTTTCCAGGAAGAAGGTCTAAGGGAAGAGCATTTACCCTAAGTCCAAGGATCAGGCAGAAGAGAGAGGCTTTAAATTAGGGCTACAGGGAGACTGTCTCAAAAAAAAAAAAAAAAAAATTTATTCCTAGACATTGTTTTTGTTATCATGCTTAAGATTTTTTTAAAAGAAAAATTGCTTCCCATGAATTATGACTGCAGTTATGTATCCTGTTATTAATGTCAATAATGTTTGATCTCCAAGTGTCAAGCTTTCAAAAATCTTTAATGATGAGTAATGGGTCTCAGATGAGATAAATTAACTACATTATAATAAAGTTTCCATATAATATTGAGATATACTGTTTCCCTAAATGAGTTTATAAGGATCATGATATGAGAAGAAAAGACTGTATCACTAAAAATTTTATTTTTGATATATATTCTGGAACTTCTCATCAAAATTTGGAGTTTGAATCATGCTAATAATTTTTTATTTATTATTATTATTTAATCTATTTATTTTTATTTTAGGACTATTTGGCCTACATATGTCTAAGTGTACCAAGTGTGTGCAGTGCCCACGGAGGCCAGAGGGAGTGTTAGATCCTCTGAAACTGGAGTTACAGACAGTTGTTGGCTGCCATATGGATGCTGGGAACCAGACCTCGGTCCTCTGCAAGAGCAGCTGATACTCTTAACTGCTAAGCCATCTCTCCAGCCCCACTAATTTTAAATCTAGATGACAAAAATGATTTTTCAGGAAGATGAATAATACTAAAATTGACTCAAAAAGAGAGAGAAAATAGATGTTGAAAATAGTATCAGAATTCAGACGTTGGCTATAGAATGTGATTTTCTGAAAGTTAAATTCTAGATCTACTATTTATTAGCTGTGATGTTGAGAAAATTTCTTAACTTTCTATGCTCCAGTTTTCTTCACTGTAAAATTATAAGAGGTATTAGGAAATTCTTAATTCTGTAAGTTTGTAGCTATAAGAATATATGGGCTGGAGAGATGATTAGGTTAGGAGCACTTGCTGCTTCAGAGGACTTGAGTTTAGTTGCCAGCACCCACTTTGGGTGGCTTACAACTGCCTGTATTCCCAGAGCCAAGTGCTTCTGTGCCCTCTCCTGGTCTCCATAGGCACCTCGCACGCACACACACACACACACACACACACACACACACACACACACGCACACGCACAGAAATAAAAATAAATCTTTATAAAAAATAAATATGCATTTTGGAAATATTTCTTAGTATTGCCCTTATAGAAGATCTAGAGGAGGTTTGAGTATTGAGTGATACATAGTGTCTTTAATTGTATAATAAAATGCATGTTTTTGTTTATTTTTTGTCTGTTCTTGTCACCTGAGTCAGATGTGTTGAAAACAGAGTTGGAGAGATGACTCAGTGGTTAAGAGCCTTGGCTGCTCCTGCAGAGGATCTGGGTTTGGTTCCCGCATGGCAGCTCACAACTGTCCATCTCTTACTCCAGTTCCAGGGGATCCCACACCCTCTTCTGATCTCTGTGAGCATTGCACACATGTGTGCACTTACATCCATGCAAGCAAAACACTCACATTACAAAAAAATCAATTGAAAATATCTCCCACTGGTTATATATTTCTGTCTTTTTCCTTAAATCTATCATGTAATAGTGTAAACATCCACCAAATACAAATGTCCATCTGTAGTAGAGTATAATTAATTCACATGCAAGTACACAGGCAATCAACATGAATAAACAGGTTACATACAACATGAATGAACCTCAAAAATATAATGATGAGTAAAATAAACTATTTACAAAATAATACTCTGATATTTTGCAGAGTTCAGAAGTCCCTAAGACAACCCTCACTTCTGACACTAACTCTGAGGTTCGGGAGCCCTCATAGTTTTGAGGCCAAATTCAAGTTCATGGTTTAATAATCTGCAGGAAAGGCTGATGCCCATACACTCACCTTTATAGCAAAAAGGGTAGACATTACTATCAGCCAAAGGAAGAGGCACATTGTGCAGTGTTCTCACATGGAACTTCCCGTCATCCTCAGTGACGTCTGCAAAGAGCTAACTTCTGGCAGTGTTGTATGAGGATACACAAAGTGTTGCTAAGCAGCAAAGTTCACTTAAGTCATCAGTTTTAGCTGAGACTCAGTCAAGTGGACATATGGATGACCTTTAGTCTCTAGGTCCTCTGGAGACTGAGTTGATACTGCTTGGTCTAAGGTCTCCAGGTAAACAGATGTGCTTTTTACACAGGACATTCCATGAATTCGGATTACTTCTCAGAGGGAGCAAAAGGGGGAACACAGGCAAATCTCTGCAAGATCGAGGTCAGCCTGGTCTACATTGTGAGTTCCAGGTCAGCTGGGGCAACAGGGAGACCCTGTTTCAAAAAGACCAAAAAAAAGAAAGAAAAAAGAAAAAAACTGTGTTGAATTGAGTGAATTGTTTCAATTAATTGAGAACAGACCTATACATATTAAATTAAAGAAAGAAAAAGGAATCTCCAATATAAAAAAGCTTGCTAGCCTTCTCATGAAGTCTTCTTTAATAAACATCTTTTGGGGGGCTGGAGAGATGATTCAGCAGTTAAGAGCACTGGCTGTTCTTACAGAGGACCCCGGTTCAATTCCCAGCACCCACATGTGGCCAACAACTGTCTATAACTCCAGCTCTAGAGAAATTTGATGCCTTCTGACCTCCCTGGTGTTGCATGACACGGGTGCACTTATACACATGTAGGCAATACACTTATACACATAAAATAAAAATAAAATATTTTTAAAATATCTATTTCATCATAAAATAATTGTCATAAAGCAAGAGGAAAATATAAGCCCTGACTGGTAATTAACTTTTCATCAATTATGACTGTCATTTTGAAGAATTATTCCTTAGTTAATGAGAGAAGGAGTCTCAGGTTTTAACGGAGAGTTTGAAAGACCACGATGCATTGTCTTGTGTCCTTCACTCTTACTGCACATCAGCTTTTGAATGGAAATACCTGGGGAATGAGAGAGAATTTGGTTAGAAATATTGGCTGCCTACATGTGATTTTCAAACTTTATGATATGGAAGACAGCCTGTTCAAATCAAAACCCCATGAGATAAGGTCAAGAAACAATAATGGAGTGGTGGTGCTTTGACTCATGTTTTACACGCTCAATATTAGCTGAATTTTAGAAAATCTTAAGTTGTCCGTCAGAGTCGGGTGGCAACTGTGTGCCTGCTTTGCCTCTTTAGCCCCTGACTTGCTGCTCACCTTCATAGGTATGTCTGAGCTGTAGTAAATTGGTCTCATGGTGTGGTGGTGTGGTTTGAATGAGAAATGCCCCCTTGGGCATATATTTGAATATTTCCTCTGCCCCAGTCACTGGTACTGTTTAGGGAGGTTATGAAACCTTTAGGTTGTAGAACCTTGCTGGAGGAAGTATGTCACTGGGGGCGGGTTGTGGGGGTTTATGGCCTTACCCCACTTCTTGTGCATTCTCTCTGCTTCCTGTGATCCCTCAGCTTGCCACTCTGGCCTCTTGCTGCCACATCTCCTCTGCCATTATGGACTCTCCTTCTTGAACCATGAGTCAAAATAAACTCTTCCTTCTATAAGTTGCTTTTAGTAATGAAACTTTATCACAGCACCAGAAAAGTAACTACTATATATGGTTTTTGAGAGCATATTTTCAAGTCATGTATCTAAGTCTGAACACCACCACTCAGTGGCTATGGGAATCTGAAAGGGAAAGACCTGCTTGTCAGTTCTTTGGATGGATCATGTAAGAGCATGAACATTCCAAGCATTCAAGGATGACATTTCAGTGAAGACTTGACCACGGTTGAGGAGTTAGCTGTGTGAAGAAAAAATATTCCAGATAGAGGGAAAAGTTAGTGTAAAGCTCTAAGGTCGAAGGCCAGAATGAAGATCAGGGAAGCCAGTGTGACTGGAACAGAATGAGCAAGAAAACAGTCGTGGGTTCATGGATTCAACCAACTATAGGCCAAACGTGTTAAGAAAATACTTGCGTCCGTGCTAAACTGTAATACATTTTTTCTACTCAGCATTCCTTCCATAGCTGTGATGCTTGTTCTTGATTGTCAGCTCTGGGCATGTCTGCAAGGGAGTTTCAAGAGATTAACTCAGGGGAACACTCATTCTCAAAAGAGACAGCATCTTCCAACAGGAAGCTTAGATAGAAAGAGGTCTGAGGAAAACGCAGTTTCACCTGCATGCCTTCACTTCTTCCCGAGAACGCCTGTTAGGGCTGCACCGTCCTCTCCCGATGCAGACCAGACTTCGCTTCTTTGGCCTTCCACTGTGGACTGAATATGCAACCCCCCCCCCCCCCCCCAGGGATTGCGCTCGGCTTTATAGACTGAGCACCTACTGGGCTCTCTGTCTTTCCAGTGTGCAGATGGCTATTGTTTGGACTGTCCAGCTCCCATCATGTATACCAATCTAGTAAATACCACTTTTATAATACACATACATCCTTTTGGTTCTCTTACTCTAAAGAATGCTGTCTAGCCAGGCATGGTGGTGCATGCCTGTAGTCCCAGCACTTGGAGGCAGAGGCAGGTGGATCTCTGTGAGTTCGAGGCCAGCCTGGTCTACATAGTTCCAGGCCAGCTGGGGCTACAGGGAAACCCTGTTTCAAAAAAGACCAAAAGAAAAAAAAAGAAAAAAAGAATGCTGTCTAATATATGAACAGTCTAACAGCACATTAGACATTAGTCTATTTACACATAGCATTTAAATTGTTAGATATTATAAGTAATCTAAAGGTCATTTTCAAGCATATAGGAGGATGTGTGCAGGTTATATGCAAATATTATATAATGGACTTGATCTTCAGAGCCAGATGTCCTGGACCCAAACCCCACAGATACTGAGAAATGACTATAGTTGAAAATAAGGCCAGACAGATAATATAGGTCATGCCAAGAAGTCTTTGGTTTTCATTGAGATTGCAAGCTATACGAAGGGTTGTGAGCAGACAAGTGACGTAGTGAGTCCCATTTGGAAGGGAAGTTCTGACTTCTACATGGTGACTAGAAGTCACCAGTGAAGGGAAGAGAGCGGAAGTGCCAGGGGCCAGTCAGGAAGCTTCTTCCATAATTCAGATGAGAGATGATTCCTGGCTTGAGGCAGTGAGTGTGTTAGCCCTAGAGACAGTGAGAACAACAGGCTTGGTTATAAACTTTGAAAGTAGAATGCCGAGGATTTCTGATGAGTTGGATGGGATGTGAGAGAATGCACGGAGCCCACAGTGTCTTCACGTTGTGTGTGGAGCTTCTCACCAGTTCCCGCAGTCTGTTTCCTGAGCCGTCGTTCTTCAAGTACAGTTTTGATTTGTCCTTTTCTTCTCCTCTGTATTTGCAGGCCTGGGTCTCCTATGATGCTGCCTCAAGCAAATCCACCTGCTAATGCAGCTGCAGACAAGCCCAGTGGTCACTTTAAGCTTGGATATTCCATGTACTGCTGAGCAACAGGACGTGCAGTCAATGTGTGAAATAGAAGTACACAGAATGCAGTGCAGTAGTTGTGATCATAAATTCCTTCAGGGACCATTAGACAGAGACAAACACACATTCAGGGATTCCAAATCATTATAAGCAATGGGAAAGCAGGTGATTGATGTTGCTTTGTTTTCAGTAACCCACAAAAAGGAGATGTTTTAAGAAGAACCAAGCATATCACCCTCAAATGCCCTTTGCAAAGAACAAGGGGGAATAAATGGTGCTGAAGAAAGATTGTTGAGAGCACTCCTCTTCTGATGAGTTGCTGCCTCGTCTTCTGATGTGGCTGTATTTGTAGGTCGCAAAAACCCAAGAAAACAAGTGTGGTGAAAAAACCCATAAGATGTTCTATCAGACTGCAAAGTCTCATTTTCTTCACTCTTGTAAACAGCAATTAAAGTTTGTTTTTATTGATTAATAAGAAATGGGGAACAAATGTCAAATACACTTTTTTGTTTTTGTCTTTTTGAGACAGGGTGTCCCTGTAGCCACAGCTGGCCTGAAACTTACTATGTAGACCAGGCAGACCTTGATCTCACAGAGATCTGCCTGCCTCTGCCTCCTGAGTGCTGGGATTAAAGGTGTGTACAACCACACCCAACTTTCAAGTATGCATTTTAAGAACGTCCACTTAAAATGGACATTCTTTGTAGTTCCCCCCAAAGATCATAAGGCTTTCATTATCAAAACAGGTGATGCATTCAGCTCCCAGTTTATAGACTCAAGATCTTTGAATTGAGCTTATGTCTGCTGTTTTTTATTTTATTTTATTTTATTTTACTTTACTTTTTACTTTACTTTACTTTTTATTTTATTTTATTTATTTT